AATACCAGTTTTCTCACCAAAAATATGACATTTCCTCCCAGGAATAGCAGTTTCTTCCAAAATTACATCATTTTCTCCAAGAAATACATGTTCTCTCCTGAAAATATGATATTTTCTCTCAGAAATACCAGTTCCCTCCTAAAAAATATGACCATTTCTCCCAGAAATACCAGCTTTCTCTAAATAGATGACATTTCCTGCGAGAAATAACAGTTTTCTCACCAAAAAAGATGACATTTTCTCCCAGAAATGCCTGCTTTCTCGCCAAAAATATGTCATTTCCTGCCTGAAATAAGTTTTCCCACCCAAAATATGACATTTTTTCCCAGCAATACCAGTTCTCTCCCAAAAGTATGACGTTTTCTCCCATGAATACTACTTTTTTTACGGAAAAAAATGACATTTTCTCCCAGAAATACATGCTTTGTCCAAAAAATGACATTTCCTGCCAAAAATAACAGTTTTCTCACCAAAAATATGACATTTTCTGCCAGGAATACCAGCTTTCTCAACAAAAATATGACATTTTCTCCGATACATGCCATCTTTTGTCAAAAAATATGACATTTTCTGTCGGAGAAAAGACCACGGGAGACAAGTCTCATGCTATCATGATCAACAGGTCTCAACTTTATTAAGTATATCGTGGCTATAGCCAAGAGCCTCAGGAGATAGCCAAGGCTGACCACTGGGATTTCAGAGTGGAGCATACACAGGGTCTGAAGAGTGCTACACTCCAAATGAAAAGGAGATATTAGCTGCATATGAGGGGGTTCAGGCTGCTTCTGAAGTAGTCAGTAGTGAAGTGCAGCTCCTTCTAGCACCTCGACTGCTAGTGCTGAACTGGATGTTCAAGGGAAAGGTTCCCTCCACCCATCATGCTACTGATGCCACTTAGAGTAAGTGGATTGCATTGATTACACAATGACCTTGGATGGGGATCCTCAGTCATCCAGGAATCTTAGAGGTGATCATGGACTGGCCTGAAGGCAAAAAGTTTGGAACATCACCAGGAGAAGAGGTATCGCGTGCTAAAGAGGCCCCACCATACAGTGAACTACCAGAAAATGAAAATAAATATGCTGTTTGCTGATGGATCATGTCATACTGTGGGGAAACATTACAGATGGAAAGCTGCTGTGTGGAGCCCTACAAAAAAAACTGCGAAGGCCACTGAAGGAAAAGGAGAATCAAGCCAATTTGCAGAGGCAAAGGCAGTCCCAGCTGGCCTTAGTTGCTGCTGAATGGGAGAGGTGGCCAATACTTTAGTTTAATACTGATGGTGGCAAGTGCCTTATGGAGGTGGTTACGGTAGTGGGAACAAAACAAGTGGCAATGAAAGGATAAACTTATTTGGGCTGTTGATCCTTGGAAAGACAACCACTGGGTGGTTTGAAACATGCACAGTACCCCATGCTATCTCCTGAAACACCTTATTAGGTCTCAAGAAACAAGTCCTGTGGCGACATGGCATTCCAAAAAGAATTGAATCAGATAATGGGGCTCATTTCAAAAATCATCTTATAAATATTTGGGCTAAAGATCATGGCATTGAGTGGATGTATCATATCCTCTATCATTCACCGGCTTCTGGTTAAACTGAATTGAATACAATGGGTTGTTAAAAACTATGTTGAAAGCAATGTGTGGTGGAACATTTAAGCACTGGAGGAAGCATTTGGCAGAAGCCACCTGGTTTGTCAATACTAGAGGATCTATCAATTGTGATGGCCCTATCCAATCCAGCTTCCTAATACTGTTGAGGGAGATGAGGTCCCTGTGGTACCTGCAAAGAGTCTGTTGGGAAAAGCGGCTTGGGTCCTTCCAGCTTCTGGAAAGAGCTAACCTCTCAGTGGTACTCTTTTTGCCCAGGGACCTCGGTCCACTTGGTAGGTGATGGAGAAAAATGTGTACCACAAGAGAATATGATGTTGGGGGAGTGTAGTCAGTAATTATATGTATATATATGTATATAGACATGTGTGTGTAATGCATTTTAATTATTGTTTTTTGTACATATGTATATATATTAAGCATGATGTAGTGATCGGTGCGGAATGTCATGGTTTTATAATTTTGTTATTGGTATTCCACATCATAACATCATGTAAAGCATGGATAATTAGAGAGTTAATACTCCAGTTCCGTGGACTGACAACTTTTCAGATACCTGGTTCTCATAAAAGAACTACATATCTCAGCGGACTTCATGTTCAGAGAGGAAGATAAGCCACAGGAGGAAGTTATGGGATCTTACTCTCTGTCTCGCTCTCTTGCTTGCTGCCTGGCAGTGTGTGTGGGTACTCCCTAGCCATGCGCCTTCAGTTCAAAGTGGGCCTTTCGGGTTTGGACACTCTCTCATTTTATTTATTAGCCTCAATTTCAATTATATTGTTTTATATTGCATTACATTCTAATATCATATTTAGTAAAATAAAGTTTTCCTCCTTAGATCGTTGCTGCTGCTCTGTTTTTGGGCCCAGATCTCATTTCCCCATCCTTCCCCTTTTCCCTTCTCATTTTGGGTCCAGGGGGCCTAACAGGCCTGCTGCCACCTGTCATGGGCACAGATTGATCTAGATAACTCCTGAACAATTTTAGAAAACAGGAACAACCTGTGTCCTTCCCCTGAGCAGATAAGGTGAGTTCTGTCAAGTCTCTGTATTAGGTAGATAAAGGAAGTTCTGCTCTGAAACATCTAATTTTATACAAGCAAATACTGTGCAGTCAACGTATTCTGCTCACAAAAAGAAGCAAAAATGCTTCTAATAGATTCTTGGCAATAACAAGAAATCTCAATTATGCCAAAAACAAAAAGAAGAGTTGAATTCACCCAACCATTGAGGGACTATACAGCACTCCTTCTCAGGAAACATCCTAGATCTAAGAGGTGGTCTCCTTTCAGTGGCTGGCCGTTATATGGGCTTCACCCTAGGTCCGTGCCTTCTGGTCACATGAGAAGCAAAGGTGCAAATAACTTGCCTGGGCTCCTGCCAATGGTTTCTGGGCCAGTTAGGCCTAGTTCCATGACAAATGGGGTAGGGGGACACATGGCCCAGGAGATGGGGGAGGGGAGAAAAGGGAAAAAGTAGGGAGATAGGTCTAAAAATAAAACAGTGGCAACAAGCTAATGGAGAAAAACTAATTTACTAAATATGATATCGGAATGCAAGATAACACAATATAATACAATATAGGAATTGAAGATAATAAATCAAGTAAAATGAGGGAGAAAGTATCCAAAACCAAAGGCCTTACTCTAATACTGAAGGCAAAATGGCTAGGGAGCGCACCCCACAGAAATGAGCAGTAAAAGAGAGTCTTGTTACTTGAGAGCAGTTTTATCTTTCCATCTGAACGGAAAATGAATACAGAACAGTGAAAGTCTTCTGGGATATGTAGTTCTCTTCTGAGAGCCATGTACCCAGAAAAACTGTCAATCCATGAAACTGGAGGATTAACTCTTTAACTCCCAGTGCTCTGCGTGATGTTATGATGTAGAACACTAATAACAAAAAACATAAAATCATGACATTCCACCACTTATTTCACATCACTACATAATATTTAAAACATATGCAAACAAACAATAATTAGCATGCATTAAACACACACACACAAATATACATACATGGATTTACTGACTGCACTCCCCCAACATCAAATTCCCTTGTGGTACACATTGAACATCCCCATTTTTCTGCATCACCCACCGAGTTGACCCAGGTCCCTGAGCAAACACAATTCCATGGAGAGTTTTCCCTTTCCAGAAGCTGGAAGGGCCTGAATCACTTTTCCTGATATGCTCTTTACACATAATATGGTGTTTCAGAAGGTAGCATGGGGTACTGCTCATGTTTCAAACCACCCAGTGGTTGCCTCCACCATGGTAAGTACATAACACTTACCTTCATGAGTTAATGGCAAGGTGATGTAGTCAACCTGCTACACCTTCTTACTTTTGCCATGGCCCTTTCCCCAGAGAGGTTTCATCCTCTTGGCTTGTTTAATTGCTGCACAAATTTCAGTCATGAATAGCCGGTGCAATAGCATCTAAAGTTAAGTCTAACCCTTGTTCTCTAGCCGACTTATATATTACAACTCTTCCTTGAAGGCCTGAGGTCTCATGGACCCAGTGAGCTAGAAATAATTCTTTGTTCTACTAGTCCAAGTCTATCTGAGCCACCTCAATTTTGGCAGCTTGACCTACGTGATGGTTATTTTGTTGCTTTTCAGTAGCCCCCCTCTTGGGTACATGAGCATCTACCTGGCGCACCTTTACGACCATATTCTTTATTCGAGCAGCAACGTCTTTCCATACTTCAGCAGCCTAAATAGGTTTACCCCTCCGTTACCAGTTGTTCTGTTCCCACTGCTGTAACCGCCTCCATAAGGCATTTGCCACCATCCATGAGTCATAGTATAAAATTACTAGTATAAAGATAAAGCATTGGCCACCTCTCCCGTTCAGCAACATCTAAGGCCAGCTGGACAGCCTTTACCTCTGTGAACTGACCTGATTCTCCTTTTTCTTCAGTGGCCTCTGCAACTTGTCATGTGGGGCTCAGCAGATTTCCATGTGCGATGCTTCCCCACAATACAACATGATCCATCTGTGAACAGGGCAAATTTTTCGTTTTCTGGTAGTTCACTGTATGGTGAGGCCTCTTTAGCATGTGATACCTCTTCTCCTGGTGATGTTCCAAACTTTTTGCCTTCAGGCCAGTCCATGGTCACCTCTAAGATTCCTGGATGGCTGAGGTTCCCCATCCAAGGTCACTATGTAATCAATGCAATCCACTTATTCCAAGTGGCATCAGTAGCATGATGGGTGGAGGGAACCTTTCCCTTGAACATCCAGTTCAGCACTGGCAGTCGAGGTGCTAGAAGGAGCTGCACTTCACTGCTGACTACTTCAGAAGCAGCCTGAACCCCCTCATATGCAGCTAATATCTCCTTTTCATTTGGAGTGTAGCACACTTCAGACCCCCTGACGCTCCACTCCAAAATCCTGGTGGTCAGCCTCAGGTCTCTCCTGAGGCTCGTTGCTACAAACTCCAAGTGGGACCTTTCTCTCCAGCAGCAGGTAGAGGATGTTCCCTACAACCTGTCCTGTCTGTACTGGATCCAGGGCCATGGCATGGGCTATCTCTTGTTTAATTTGCTCAAAATCCTGCTGCTGCTCAGGACCCCATGAAAAATTATTCTTCCATGTCACCTGATGAAGGGGGCTTACAATGAGGCTATAGTTTGGAACATGCATTCTCCAAAAGCCCACTACACCCAGAAAAGATTATCTCTCTCTTTCTAGTGGGTGGAGATATAGCAGTGATTTTGTCAATCACATCTGCTGGGATGTTACAATGCCCATTTTCCACTTTATACCTAGGAACTGAATTTCCGGGGCAGGTCCTTTCACTTTGCTTTGCTTAATAGCAAAACTAGCTTGCAGAAGAATTTTGATTATTCACTCTCCTTTCATGAAAACTTCTGCTGTACCACCCCACACAACAATATCATCAATGTGTTACAGGTGCTCAGGAGCACTGCTCTGTTCTAATTTTCTCTTATTATCTCCCACCGAGTGACCTTCAGTATCCTGCAGAGAAGCACTGGTCCTGTCTGGGTTCTCTGGGGCACTCTTATCCCCTGAAATTTCATAGCAAGATTACACAGTCATCTCTCTGCTATCTGAGATTATGGTCACATAGGAAACCTCAAGTACTGGAAAAAAGCAAACAAACAGATCAAATGGTTCTTTTGGGCCACACTTTAGAGCTGAATATTCTTAACATATAGGGTGTACTGAGGCATGCAGACCTTCTTGATACATCCAACTATATTAAGTCCATTACTGTATTTCAATTCCAATACCAAAAGAGACAGAGAGGTGTAAGGGAGGTTTTTTTGAGCTGCTACATCAGTAAGTAATGTCAAGCATCTAATGGGGTGCTGAGTACAGTCTGGCTTCTCACCATCAAATGGCCCCACAATCAGTAACTCCAATAAACTTGGCCAGCCAACCAGCTACTGCTAGTGGTACATTTGATTAGGGCAATATCCTCCCTAGGCAGCTTGCTGGCAGTCCCTTGCCAATAATAGATGTTCCTCTCTCCATCCTATGCATGGAAATGCAAACTACCATAACATTACCATACCTGTGCTAGGTAGTGCTTATTGGCATGCGTATAGGAACTGTTGAGTCATGGCCTGAACCGCTGATTGATCACCTGGAGGTCAGCCCCAGGAGCATAGCTGAAGGCAATTCACCTGCGTGACCGAAAGGGGTGGAGTCTGGCTCCACCTGTCCTAGACCCCATTTAAGGGCTGACTGCCACCATTCCTGGTAGAGTTTTTCCCTGCAAACCTGGAATCTTCTGATTTGGGTAAGCAATCTCCTTCCCTTCCTGCACCTTTCTATCATGTTCAACATCTCATCATATTGAGCTGCCCAATTGCTACAGCCCGGGTCATAATGATCTGGGTGATTTGATGCATCTCACTAGCGCTCTGAGATCCACACTGCTGGGAAGCTCAAGGATATAATGTTGATTGTAAATGGTGGCAGATGAAAGAAGAGAATCCATTTCTACTTCTGTCTTTGATCCCTAAACTCCTCATCTGAAGAACCAGTTCATGACTTTCACTCTCATATTCTTCATGTGGTGTTTATCTCTTTAGGGGAGGAATCAAATCTAATGATTTATTTCTCTATTACAGCTGGTGATGAGGTTTTCCACCAGTGAAAATATGGAGAGCCATCATCTAAGAATTCATACGAAAATGAACAGGTTTTTACCTTTACATTCACCAACAGAGAGCCCAAATGGGACAGAAATCATTCAGAAACTGTGCTTGTGGCAAGGGTTTTGATGGGCATTATGACCTGACTCAGCATCAGTTGGTTCAAGCTGGAGAAAAGCCTTATCTCTGTGTGGGAAGAGTTGGAGTCGCTTCAGCAAGAAATTAGCAGCTGAACAGAGCAATGTTTACAGCGACTCCTGCAGGGCATCCTTCACTCTTCTATTAGAGATAGGATAAAGGAAAGAATAATCCAAGCAGGTCTGGGAAATCCTGCAGAGAACTTAAGGCACAGACACTACAGACAACAATGTGATATTGCTCCAGTGCATGGAGTAACAATGCCCTATCTTCGTTTTCTAAGAATCACTAACGAGGGAGGAGGAGGTATACTCACATGGTGAAATGAAGTTATAAAAAACAGCAGGGTGTATGGGGACAGTAGGGTAGCAAAAGTGGGGCATCAGCCACATTAGGATCTTTGCAGAGTTAAAAGAAAGTATCTCGGTGCTGGGCTGGTGTCTAGCTTGGGCATCTGGAGCAGATGCCCAAAACAGAAAGGCAATTTTACCCTTGTGGAGCTCTGAGGAAGCATAATATTACATATTCTAGAACTGTTATAATCATTATTTGCCCTTTATTAGTCCTTGTGAGCTGTAGCTTCTAATCACTCAAGATCCAGGACCTTACACAGTTGGTTGCTTTCACCTTCTGTCCCTTGGTGGAAATCAAATATCTGGACCTCCTATCCACCAACTTAGAGTTGTGACAAGCTAACATTTTAAACATTTCATCTTCATTTCTTTTTCCCTGTGATGGTTTGGGGACTGTAATTCATCCATCCTATGCAATGTGATAATTTCAGAAGAGATTCTCACTGAGAGAAATGCATCACGAGCACAGGACAAAGATGTGGTTTCTGCCTCAGTCAGTTTACAACATAAGCCTTCAATGTAATGTACCAAGTTTTTTTTCTAAGGTAGAAAAAGCACTCTTTTATAAGGTCATTCTGCTTTTATATTTTACTTGCGGTATTATTCTTGTGCTACTATTAATTAAATGCAAAGAAAAATAAAAATATCACTGTATGAATCATTCAAAGGCCCTTTTTATGAGTTAAGGACAAAAGTTTGCTTCACGAGAACTGTGTTTTTACTCATACAAAACAATCCCTCATCAGTCTGCCCTTCCAACAACAGCACCATGGCTCCAGACAAATTACACTTAAACAGCACTGTTATGGATGGTAGCATGTTGTACAATGGAAGGTCACATCTGAGCGCTCTGCTTTGATCACTCACCATATGGGAAAGGTTTCATTTTTGCATGATTGAGTTATGGGAGTGAGAGGCATTAAGAATCCTCTGCTGATATACAGTGTTGGACTACAGAAAGAAGAAAGAATACAAAGGAGTTAGTATACTGTTTCTATATCACAGCATCACCTTTGGTAGTTCTATTGCTGGATCCGCAATGGCCCAGAACAATGTATTTACCTACTGGGACTAAAGGACTTCTCCCCCACCCTTCCATTAAGACTAATTGTCAAAACACTGGTCCTTGGGAGATTTGGTAATATTATGGAGCTGCACATCTTACTCCTTACAAGGGACTGACTGCCAGCGGAAGTCTGAGTTGGATGTCTGTGGCCTGTGTCAGGAATTGATCCTACAGGAGATGATATGTGACTGAGCTTGCTTCTACCCATTGTTCATGGCAGTTTTAAGGACAACAGGCCACTCCTGTGGAGGTGATTTCAGGAACACGTGATCACTTTTCTACCAGTAAATGTGGGGGCTATTAAAAAATTAATATATATATATATATTTTTTTAAATTAAGGCCTTTCAGAGTGGTAGCATGGACAGCGTAGCTGTATTTTGGTCTTGTGCCACCATGGGTCAGAAAAGAACCTGTATTTTCAAGGACTAAAAAGGTCACTGATAATAAGAATCAAAACTGGATAAGAGTTGGGTTAGAGCAACTCCTACTGAAGTCTGCAATCAGCACTGTGCTCTTAAGGTAGGTCCTAATCAAGCTGTGTTATGCTAGCCAATACTGCGCAGTTTCTTAGGATAACATATACTTTGGCCTGATTTACTAGGGGAGGGGTGAAAGAGGCAAAGTCCAAGGGAGAATTGTTTCTCTTCTTCTTGTGAAGAACAGCAGTAGGATTTGCTTCCTGTCCCCAACAACCCCTCTTAAGGACAGCTTCTTTAGACTAAAGCTGATTCCCTGTCCACAGACAGAGCAAGAAGTTAGTTGCAGCCTCCCACACCTCGCTGTGTGTGAGAAGTAGATCAAGTTTTTGCATTAGAAAACTAAGCACTAAGGTATAGACCTTTACTAAACTTTCTTACAAAATGGCAGCAGGGGTTGTTGTCTACAATGAGATGTTGAGGCAGAGCCTAATATAAGCTAGAGTGAGTCTGCCAGGTATTCTGTTTTTCAGAACATTCTGACCAGGTGGGTAAACACTTATGGATCCACCTACGGTGGACAGGCAGGATAGCAAAAGCCTAGTATACACTGTCCTCCTGTCTCCCTTGAAAAAAGGGGAACTGCTGGTGGCCCTAGTATACATTGTCCTTCTGTCCTCTTGATGAATGGAGAACAACCTATGGGCCTAGCATATGTCCTCCTGTCCCCTTTGAAAAATGAAAAATGACAGGTGAGTGATAAACCTTATATGGAAACGCACCTTAACAACTGTGTCTAATACGCTGTGTGCCTGAGATGCTCAGCCAATGAGTAACAGGAGAGATATACTTAGTAGGAAGGGTATAACATAGTATCGATCTCACTAATTAAGCGCACAATTTCTTCCTTGCCACAAGGTGGCGTGCGCCCGCTATTGCAATAACGAATAAACTTCGTCACTTCACAAAGATTGTGTCTGATCAGAAATTATTGATTTTGAGTGTTTCTCGCACTATTGGCATAAGGCAACATGACTCTTGTGCACCAGAATGAACAAGCAGCTCTTGCCCTTTCTGAGGCTAGAATCTCTGAGGTTTTGTTTTTAAAAAGCTGAAACTATAAGAAAATGGTAGGTGTTGGCACTCCTAGAGAAATCCAGTGTATCTGCAGGGGTCATGGAGGACAAATTTCTAAAGGCACTTCACCAACATACACGTGTAAGAGTATATCTGTATTAACGTTACCTCTCCTGTCTGCAGGAAGGAGGCAATACCTTCCCAATACAGCATAGCATGTTATTACATACAGAAGCTGAGAGAGCACCTCAAGGATACCTCTCATGCAAGGACACTGGGGAGGAATGCATTTTTCAGCTTTGTCCCCCTCTGCAAAAGCCAAGTTTATGAAAATTTATGTGCTTATGTCATAAAAAACTGCACTGTTATGCATAATTATATGCACAACAAAACAAAAAAAACCCAAGGCCTTCATCCTGGTGGCAGGGAGAATTTCTGTAGCTTTAAGTGCCTGACACTACAGCCATTCAAGATTCTCTTAATTTAACACAAGGATGTTAGTGTGCAATCTTCTAATTAACTGGGAATCATCTATATACGTGCATGAGACTGATTAATTTATTTGTTTGTGGGATGCATTTTGTGTCTATCCAACAGAGGGAAAGAAAATAAAGGGCTGGTCTGAGTCATAAGCAGCACTGACCTTTACCACAGGAAACAACACTTAGATGGACAACATCACAAGTTGATCTTAGGCAGGAAGCAGCAGCTTCTTAGCACTGCTTGGAGTAGCAGCAATGTGCAGGATGGGGCTAAGGCAGCACAGGGGAAAGAGTCTGGATATCATCCTCCTCCCCTGGCTGCACATGCTAAGATGCTGCAGCTGCCTGCCTGGGTATATGTGCAATTCTTTCTGTACCCAGCTCCTACACAGCAATAGGATTGAACCATAGTACTATTTGGCAAGCTCTTCAATTGCAGCCTGCTTCTCCTTTCAGTTTTGCTTTCTATGCTGGATTTTGCTGAGGTCCTACTGTTTGAACAGCTTTGGCTAGCACAAAACAACCTGCAGCATTATGCCTTTGTATTTCACCTTTCACTTGCAGTCATTTATTTCCAGGGCTTGCAATGAACCTCAGGATAACTGACCTACCTAAATACAAAGAGAACAGGAGACAGAAGCTTCCTGGTTGTTCTGACAGAAAATGATTTGTTGTCAGCATTCCTTTTAGAGATGACTTGAAGTGTCATAGACAAGCACCCAACAGTTTATTGCTCCAAACACCCACATATATGAAAAAGTCAGAGGAAGACTGAGGAAGCACCTGTCTGCACAGCTGTCATTCCTGCTGTTCTCCTGTTACTACATTGGCAGAGTGGCAGAGCACAACACAGCAAACCCCAATTTTCCAGCTTACCAATAGGCCTGTTGGCAAAAATGTCCCTCTCCATCCCAGGAGGGCAACTTTGGAGATCCCTCATGCAGCTGGTCTGCAGGAAGAACTTTCTTCTTAAGCTTCAAGAGCCCTGTGGAAGTAACAAGAGGTAACAGCAGCTAACAGTTATTGAATGTATGAAGTCAGACAGATTGAGTTCCAGATGGGGCCCCAAGAGATAAAGAGCACGTAAGAGCAAAGATGTTAGTAAATTAGTCTCCAGTTCAAGAGAGGCAACATTCAAGATGAGGCTCTTAAGAACAGGATCACAGTCAGATTGCTGCAGAGACCTTGGCACGATCCTTAGGACCCTTTCCCATACACACATCAACTGTGCTCCTGCGCTGCAGCCCACACTGTTCTCAGCAATGCTGACACAGATATTTCAAAGCTGTATCTAAAATCACCAAAGGATTTGGAGAAGAAAATAGCTTTTTGCATTCCTCTTGCAATTCAGGATCACAAATGCAGAAATTCAGATCACTGCACAAAACAGAGCTGCACTATTGGCCTGCCAAAAATTCCCTGGGAACTGCATTGTAGGATTTCAGTAAGAGACACTTTCTAGTAACAAGCAATATGTAGTGTCTATTGCATGTAACATGCCAATGGGGAGAAAGATTTCCTCAAAACTGTCACTGATCTAGAAATGCCCTACCTAATTTGGCAGAAAGGAAGAGTTATTTGGAAATATTTGCATAACTAGCTTTTGGTAAGCTTTTTTGAAACTGTTTTACATTATTCATAGATAGTGCGACCAATGCTATGAACTCTGGATTCCCAGAAATTAACACATTTGATGATGGAGTAGAGGTAAGCCTACAAAAAGCTTTCTTATCTTTCTCCTCATTTGACATCTCATTCCCAAATACAGTTGTTTTGTCTCCATAATGTTTTTCTGTACCTTTGCAGCCATATGGTTTTGGGTTTAGAATCCCTGTTTAGAGATATTACCTTATATTACTTAGTTACACTTGTGGACCCTTTTTAGGTAGCCCATGGACCTCCTGATACGCATAGACAACAGATGAGAAATGACTGCAATAATCTTACTCAGTGAAAGGCGCCTATTCAGATACTGTGTGAATAGTGTGAACTGCAGGAAATGCGACCTTTCTCTTGTGCTAATTGAAGGTCCCAGGTTCACATTATTTAGCTGTAGGGCCACTTCCATATACATCTCCATATATTAGTCAGGTAGGAATGGGGCTTGAAAAGCAATGCTCAACACAAAGGAATGAGATGCCATGTTGCACAAGGTATATCAAATGTAATTTTTGCAGTTTTGGCTGAGGAAAATCTTCCTAAAGATTTAAAAACTCACTACTATTTCACTGGAAATGCAGTCACTAAGTTGCCAAATATTATTGGAGAGCAGGAAACAAATAACTTTGACTACCAAAGGCTGGGTAATTGCTTCAGAGAATATGTCCCATATAGGTATAGTTCCTTTTTTCCCCAATATTTACTCAAAGAAACTTCTTGCTTTTTGAAGTCCATATTTTATTAATCTTGAATAAAAAGACATTTAATTGAATTAGAATAAGCTTTAAGCTATTGCTTTCTGTCTTGTAAAACAATATATAAGAAAATAAATGTGAAATTTTGGGTTTCATTTTGCTCATTTCTGAGGGAAGTCAGTGAACAACACCCCCTGGGAATCTGTCCTCAAGGACAAGGGAGTAGAGCAGAGCTGGCAGATCTTTAAGAAAGCTTTCCTTAGAGAAAAAGAGCTCTCTATCCCTAGGCATAGGAAATCAGGAAAGGAAGGCAAGAGACTGACATGGCTAAACCGAGACCTGCTTGGTCAAACTGAAGATCAAAAAGAAAATGCACAGGCAGTAGAAGCAGGGACAAATAACCTGAAAGGAGTACAGGGATGCTGCTAGGCTGTGCAGAGATAGAGTCAGGAAGGCCAAAGCCCACCTGGAACTGGACTTGGCAAGGGGTGCAAAGAAGAATAAGAAAGGCTCCTACAGGTACATCAGCTAGAAAGGAAAGTCAAAGAGGGCGTATCCTCACTAGTGAGCAATACAGGCAAGCTACTAACAATAAACAAGGAAAAGGCTGAGGCATTCAGGTTCACAACTGCCTGTGGAACCTGAACAAGCATGGATCACAATGAGATGTATCCCAGAATTCTTGAGGGAATGTTCTGACATAGCCACTCTTCTTATTTGAAAAGTCATGGAGGTCAGGTGGAGTGCATAGTGACTGGAAAAAGGCAACATCACATCCATTTTTAAGAAGGGAAGAAAGCATGACTCAGGGAACTACCAACTGGTTAGCTTCAGCTCTGTGCCAGAGAAGACCACAGAGCAGATCCTCCTGGAAGCTATGTGTATGGGAACTTTTGAATCACGGCCTGAACCTCTGATTGATCACCTAAGGCAAGCACTGACTCAGCCACAGGAGAACAGGTGAAGGCAATTCACCTATGTGACTGGAAAGGGTGGAGAATGGCTCCACCTCTCCTAGACTCCATTTAAAAGCTGACTGCCACTAAAGAAGGAGCTCTTTCTAGAGATTACTATCTTTGGAGTTTTTTTGTGAGGCTAGGATATAGGTGAGCATTTTCATTTATTTCTGATTATCCCTTTTCACTGTGATAATCCTTCTAGTTATACAACCTGTAAAATACCAGCCTAATTACACCTTTCTGCTAATGGTATATTTGTTGATTGTACACTATCCTAAGGCACATGGAAGAGAGGGAGGTGATACAGGATAACCAGCATGATTTCACCAAGGGCTGGTCCTGCCTGACCAACTAATGGCCATTTATCATGGTGTCACTCTGTCAGTGGACAATGGAAAAGCCACTGATGTCATCTGTCTGAACTTCAGTAAGGCCTTTGACATAGTCCCCTATCATTTTCTCCAAATTTGAAAGATATGGATTTGACGAATGGACCTTTTGATGGATGAGCAAGATTGCATTACAAAGTATGGTGGTCAATGGCTTGATGTTCAGATGAAGGTCGGTGTCCCTCAGGGATCTTTATAGGAATAGGTGCTTTTTAATGTCTTCATCAATGACATCAACAGGGAGATTGAGTGCTCCCTCAGCAAGATTGCGGATGATGTCAAATTGTGCGATGAGGTCAACATGCGTGAGGGATGGGATGTCATCCAGAAAGATCCACACAACCTTGAACAGTGGGTCCAGGTGAACCTCATGAGATAATCCCCACTGTCAACACAAGCTGGGGTATAAACGAATAGAGCACAGCCCTGCTGAAAAGAACTTGGGAGCACTGGGGGATGGCAGGCTGGACTTGAGCCAGCAATGTGCCCTAGCAGCCTAATTAAAGCCAACCATATTCTGGATTGCATCAAAAGAAGTGTCAGCAAGTCAAGGGAGGTGATCCTGCCCTTCTCCTCTGTGCTAGTGAGACTTCATCTGGAGAACTGCATCCTGATGTGGAGTCCTCAGTACAGGAAAGATACTGACCTGTTGGAGTGCATCCAGAGGAGGGCCACAAAACACCTCCCCTACAAGGACAGACTGAAAGAGCTGGGGCTGTTCAGCCTGGAGAAGAGAAGGCTCTGGAGAGACTTGATAGCAGCCTTTCAGTACCTAAAGGGGGCTACAAGGAAAAAGGGTCTACTGTAATATAAGACAAGGGAAATTGTCACTAACTAAAAAGAAGGAAGATTTTGATTGGATGTAAGGAAGAAGCTTTTGAAAACAAGGTGAGGCACTGAAACAGGTTGCCCAGAGGTATGGATGTGCAGTCCTTGAAGATATTTGAGGTCAGGCTGGACCATGCTTTGAGTAACCTAATCTATCTGTCTAGATGTCCCTGTTCATTGCAGGGGAATGTGACTAGGTGATCTAAAAGGGTCCCTTCCAACTCTAACAATTCTATAATTCTATATGAAATCATAGGTAGGAGACATGTTGTTGATTCTTTCTTCTTTCCCTATTTTTTCTACCTGCTGCTATGAACAGTTCACACTGGCTTGCTATGTCTGCTCAGCTGACAATATTTGCATTCTCAGCAAAGTAACTGATGATCCACTTTGCCTGCTTTTGCTACTAGTGGCTGGCCACTCCTTGCTTCAATGCAAGAAAAATCAGAATAGGTCAAGGAAGCCAGAATTTGCACATGTAAAGCAAAAACCCTTCTGAAGCCCTCGTATGAACAGTGACACCCAACCAGACTGCACTGCAAAAGCTGCAGCTGTGACTGCACCTGGAAAAATCCCACCCAGTCTATTTGCACAAAGCCAGAACCATGTTTGTGCCTTTTAAAGCAGGCAGTAGCTTATAAAAAGTGAACTGTTGTGCAATGACAAGGCTAAATGGATGCGTGCAAACAAAAATACACTTTTGCCTCCTTATGTAGCTGATGTGCAGGGAGACTCTAGCTGAGCTTGGAGACTCCAGCTGACCCCTTTCTCTTGCATTTTTAACAGTAGCCTGTTTCTGGCAGCAAGCCTGAATTCCTGCCCTTTTCTCTGAAATTTCTCACAAGCACCTATATGAAAGTAGTGTGTAGCAAGTAAGCCATTTAGGACAATGGCCCTGTTTGTACATCAGTCAAGACTACTGCTATTATTTTGGAAGAAACGTCCGCAACACAGTAAACAAGCCACTAGTTCTTAATCTATCTTCTTAGGATATGCATGCTCTCTGACAATATAGGTTACTGTCTCTGGACTGTTATAAATACATATCATTTCAGTAATCTGGTTTTATAACGTTTCACATAGGAAAACATATCCAGCACTGTAATCCAGTTCTGAATTTTCTTAACTCCTTCTGTCATGTCCAGCTATTCCTGAACTTAATTTGGAACAAATTTCAGGAAAGATCTCAGAAACCAGTACTTGATTATGTTAACTTTATTATTTCTTGAACTCCAAGAACAAGTGACACCCTGCCAGTCAACAGTAGATATTCACTATTACAGTTGTATTTGAAAACAATTGTTTTCAAATGTAATTGAAGCAGAGTCAAATTAAGACAGGCCCAAACCCATTTCCAGAAATGAAGAGCTACTGTGAAAGTATACAAAGAAATAAAAGCTCAACATACTGCTGCTTTCTATCTGCTGCCACGTAGGGAAATCAGAGCATGACATGCACCTGAATTTGAAGGGGGGGAGGGGGCAGCTCAAATCTGCATCTCTGAAAGATGGCTTCCATTCTGAAACAATTTAATATTTCATTAACTTCTTTCTGCTCTGCCATGGTGAATCCAAAGAGATGACTATAGGAATCTAGATATAAGTCATGACAATATTGCTAAGGCTATATTCAAGATAGTAACAAAAAAGATGAGTGGACTGTGTAATCCTGACAATATACTCTTTTTTACTCAAGTACTTGCTCTAGCTGAGTAAGGTGCTGACACCTACAAACCCAAGAAAAGCATAGACCCTGTAGCACTACCAGCACTGGCTCTTAACTTTCCTCACAGAGTCCATCAGCTACTGGCCAAAAATGTTGACTCACTGTAGCTCATCCTGCTCAAGAGGATGAGGAGGAGTACTCCAAGATTGGAACTGGACCTCTCCTGCTCATAATGTGGTGCTCCCGATAAGCAGATTTCTAAACAAACAAAAACACTTGTATTGCAAGGGTGGTTAAATTGGGACAGGTTGCTCAGAGAAGTCATGGAGTCTCTGCTCTTGGAGATGTTTAAAACCATCTGTTCTGATCATCATCCTGGGCAGCTTGCTCCAGCTGATCCTGATCTAAGGGGGGAGCCTGAGCTCACTGTTCTTCAGAGGTGCCTTCCAATCCCATTAATTCTGAGTCTGTAGCATACTTATTCTTCACTAACCTTTCCTTTGTGTTACTGATGGAAGAAGTACCTCAACTGCATTTCAGGAATTTTCATGCAAACACACAGAAGTTAAGTTACAGAAGGAGAGCTGTCCCACAGAAGGATGTAGATACTGTGATACCAAGAGCTGTATGCTATTATTTTTATGCATATCTTCCCCCTAAGTAATACATGAAGAAAATTTAGGCACTCAAATTCCCTGTGCAATAGATAGGGAAAGCAAGATACCTCAGGATATGATTCACAGAGGCAGAAAAGAAAACTGCCTCTAGAGCCACTGGAGCTGCCAAGGAGAAGGGTAAAGTTTAAGCCCTTCTTAGACAATAAATCATCCTTTTCTGGATGACAGAGGTGCCATTTCTTAGTAGCTACTGGACTGGGGTTAGAGCTGCAGCCCACTACCTGCTGCTAGTTGCTTATAAAAACGCAGTAGGAAGAAGCATCACCTACGTAGATAATGGTCCGAAGGTTTGTGCAACAACCCAAAATACACACGATCCAGAGTTGGTTTCCCTAGTCCCATGCCTTTTGGGAATTTGAGGTATACATTTCTTCCCAGTTGACTGTAAATGCTGTGATATGGAACAGAAGTATCAACTGCAGAAGCTGTTCCACTACGAAGAAATTATTCATCCACACAACTGAAGAAAAGAGTATAAAAGTATAAGAAAGTATCAAGCACAGGTAGGATTATCACAGTCTGGATAGAGCTTTCAGCTGGCCACTTCTGAAAGGAGTTTTCCTGCCAGAGAGATCCTGCAAGAAAGGGAGAATTGAGGAATACTCAGATGTGGGCTACCGGGTTTCTCAAGTGGTTTGGTCAAACTTTCCCTTCTCTTTTGCTCCAGTGTCCTGGTGGATACACTTCAGCAAGCCTCATGAAAAGGAAAAAAGATTCAGGGAAGGGACAGTATTGAATATCAGTTCAAGGAGACTGCAAATGTATTATGGATAACTCCTTCCTCACTCACCTGTCTAGCAAAATTCTTCACAGTTTTGGATCTAGTCATATTCCTCTTTTCTCTACTGGCCTCTGTCCCACTCTGCCAAGTCAGGGAAACTTCCCTACAGCCTGTCCCTGCAGCTACAGTCAAGCTGTAGATAACAACAGAACTTATTTCACTAGGAACTGATACACTGTCCCCTTCCAGTGCACAGTTGAACATGACAACCACAATAACCATAGAAAGTTTTTATGCAGCTAGGTTACCTAGGGATATTTATCTATGTACTGGGAAGGACAAGATGTCTGAGAATGGCTATTGTGGATTCAGACTTCTGGTAGAAATTAGTTTTTCTACTCAAATTCTGCTCAATTTCATCTTTAATAAGCTGTTTAATTCACTTACCCCTATTTGACAATCCAGGACATAATGTTAGGATCTCTGAGATCTACTGCAGGGGCTGAGCTGTGCTCTATGCTGTGAGGACAACTCTTCTAGCACCTGGTGTTTTCCCTTAAAATCCTGGCTATCTGTTGAGGGGGGAGGAAACACAGCAGAAGGGTTCACACATGCAAAAACAACAACCTTAAGCAGCAAGAAGAGAGACTCGGGTAATGAAGAAGGTAAAAAAAGTAAATGTCATAGTTCGTCTTTCTAGAACCGCAAACGACAGGGGGCAGGTATGCTGGCTCTGCTGTCGCCTTCAAGACTGAAAAAAAATCAAAACCAAAAAAACAGCGTTAAGCGCGTTTTCCACCCCGAGTTACGCACAGAAACATTCCTCGTCGTGCTCCGAGCCACCGCACGGCCAGCTCCAACACCGAGATGACTCCAGTGTGAGAGCTCACCAGGAAGAGGACGAAGACAACTCTCCTCGCGCCCAGCCCCGCACCCACCAGCGGGGGTGCGAGCCCCGCTGTCAACCCCGCACGCCAATCAGGCGGCCTGCCTGCCTTCCTGTAGGTGTGCCCGGCTCACCTGGGAGCTGCGGCGCTGATGACATACCTGCAGCCCTGGGGGAAGCACAGAGATCTCAGCCTGCTGTCGCCCAGGACAGGGGGGCCCCAGCCGGAGCGGTGCTGGGGGCAGCGTTGGCCCCGGCCCGGCCGCCGCAGGTAAGGGCACTGTGAGAGTGGCGTTGCCGTTTGCCTGGAGATGAGCGGGCCTGGCGCCCGATCCCACACAGGCCGGGCTGAGGCCGGGCTGAGGCCGGGCTGGAGGGGCGCTCTTCCCGGGGCCGGTGTGGTAGGGAGAGGACGGCCGGGAGAGCGGCCCGCCGTTTCAGGATCCGACGGGGAGGAGGCGTAGGAAGGATCTCGGGGGAAGGAACTCGCTTTCATTCCGCGGTGGGACGACGGGCCTGCTGCCCTCCTCTGTGACGCGGGGCTCGGCCCGATGCGCGTAGGTGTGGATTAATGTGTGGGGAATCGCCGTTCGGAGAAGCCGCGCGGAGCCAGGTGCGGAGACGTCCGCTCTGGTGCCTACGGGGAGAAGGAGCAAGGAGCTTATACCTTCGGGGGCCTTCGCAGCCTTTTCGTGATGCTCCTGCCCCTCACAGGTAGAAACAGAAATGTGGGCCCGGCCGCCGGTGCGCTTTTGCGCACTGCTGCTATGCCTCTCACATGAGAGTCAGGTCTTGCGTTGGTCGCTGGACTGTGGACTTCAGAGGCCCTGGTGTCTCAGGGCTGCATTTGGACTCTGGACACCTTTGCTCATTCGTGTCTTGTGACTTTTATGGCCTGTCATGGAGGAGCGGAAGAAGAGACGCATGCTTGCTGCACATTTCCCTTCTCACCACTTGGAGCTTAACCCAGAGCTGTGGTTACACCCTTGGTGCCCCAAGCGACTTGCCCAGCCTTAAAAGCTCCTGCCTGGCCCACCCAGCACCCTTGTTATCCTTACGCTTTGTGCTTTAAATTATTTTCAGAAGTTGGATGGATCAAATCTGGCAGACAATATAGGGGTAGGGAAGCACTTTTGCCAAGGGATTACTGGATATGGATGCTGTTGCCTTGTCCTTCCCCCTCACTTGCTGACCAAACCACATCCATAACATGCTATTGAAGTTTTGTGACAGCATTCACTGATGTTTTAGAATTTCTTGGAATCTAAAAGGCTTATTGGAGGTAACTTGTATAAGGACAAAGTCCTCTTAAAAGCTTGTGTGGGAGGGAGGTGGGTTGTTTTGGAGTGATAATGTATGAGTGACCTGGGTTTCTGGAGTGCAACTGAACTGGGTGAGGAGAAGGCATTGAAAATATGATTTGAAGTTGTTCTAAATCTGAATTATTCTTAAGTCTCAGTTGTTAATATTTGGTTTCCATGCACAATCTCATTTTGCCAGCTCGTGGCTGATGAAGTACTTGTAGTGCTATCTGTGCAGTAGCTCGGTGGTCTTGATTAATCTGAATGGGAAGGGGGATCACATGCTATAATCACTGGTGGCAGCATGGACTAGAATTAAGCCTGGTGCTCCTGCTGAAGCCCTGTCTTTTTAATGTCTGAAACTGTGAAACCTGGGTACTTCCTTTGAGGAACTCTTCTGAGAGCCTTTGCTGTTTACAGCTTCATTTCTGGGCCTTGTTTTATTTCATTGTGTTTAATTTGGATCTTCTTGCTCTTGTCCCTTGAGCCTTCTTATTTCCTGTGGATCACTTTTTTTTTTTTTTTTTTTTTTCCAAGTCCCTTCTAGATTTAAAAAACAAAATTTTGCTAAGGCTTATGTTTTTTATTTATTTACTTATTTTTTATCATTGCTCCAACTAAAAATTAGCCCACATCCTTGGAAAAAAAAAAATCGTCTCCATGACCAGACAGTGCTGGTGCAGAAGGGTAGCTTGAAGCCAGGCATGAGTAGCCCTTGTGCTAAATTGAATAAAAGAAGGAATCATATGTTTAATTCCTATATTTCTGGGCTGAGGCAGTAGGCTGTGGTTGCACAGATCCTCTCAGCTAGCACTGCCACTGGAAGATGCTGTTATGCTACCATTTATCATCTGTGCCAGTTCCCTAGCCTGGCTTGTTGTGAAGCCACATGTGCATATGTGCTAGAAGGGAAAGAGCAATGTAGGATGGGAGTAAGGAGGGTGGGACGGCTCCTGGCATCTGTGTCAGTTGACAAGTTAGGGAACTTGTGAAACTAAGGCTTGAGGTACAGGAATTGTCACAAGCACACTTTACCTTAAATATTTATGGAAGATACATATTTTTCTTCTTTCAATATTTCCTTTAAAGCAAGTGTGTGAGACCAGCTGCCCTGATTCACTCATTAGCCCAAGTTTACTCAGTTGCAGGACTTGGTTGGTCAGCTGAATTTAGGTCTATGGCATGGATGTCCAACCTTTTGGTTTGCCTGAGTTGGACTGAATGAAGAGGAATTGTCTTGGGCCACGTATAAAATACATAATATCGTTACTGTGGGTAAGTAAGACAACTTACTTTCTAATGTATTTTTTTATTAAAACATAAAAAAGAGAGAATAACATAAACATAAAACTAGTGTGATATTTTTCCTTGTTTTTGTGAAACTAATGCATCAATGTCTGGTTCAGTGGAAGTGTTTGCAATTCTTTGTGAGTTCTCAAAGTGCTCGTCAGAGATTTCTGATGAAATATTACTTTTCCTGTGCTTCATCCTTTAAAACACTTGTTCACGAAACATATAAGCCACTGAAAGGTAATGACATGAATAAGATGTGATTGTGAAGTGAGGGTTATTATTCTCTGGTAAAATAGGTCTTGTAAAAGTGTAGTAGAAAGACATAATCAAACTTTTATTTGCAACTTGATACATTACATGTGAGAATTCACAGGTAATGTGTTTTTGTCAGCTGAAAAAGTAGTCAAGAATATATTAAAAAACTGATGGTATTTTTTTTTTTTTGAATCTTCAAACTTATCGCAAATTCCTTTATCAAAATAGAAAGCATAGCTGCATATTTTGTACTGTTCACAAGAATGTGTTTAGCCAATGCATCAAAATGTTCATTTGCCATAACTTGAACTTGCTGTAATTTTGAACAGTTATGATTTGAAATACAGCACAGATAAGTTGATTTTCATCTTGAGACACATCTTTAATTCATTTAAATGAGCGGTCAAGTCCACCAAAAGTGCTAGACCTCTGGGCCATTTTTTATCTTTAAGTTCTGGTGCAGAATTTCTTTTTTGATTCTGTAAATGACTTGGTTTCATTTTTAAAATCATGAAATCTTTTTAGCATTTTACCCCAACTTAGCCACCTCCTTTCAGAAAAGTAAATGACATTCCCATAATCAGCATGCAAACTTTTAAGGAACTCCTGGAACTGGCAATGGTTGGACAATGATGAAATTCTCAGATTTGATGATCATTTGCATTACATTATCCATTTTTAAAGCTTGTATATGTAGATTTTCTTGATGTCTGAAGCAGTGATGTTTCATCAAACATGAATTGCTGGTGGTAATTTCATTGCCTTCCTTTAATTGTGTAGGTCCCTCTTTTTTTTACCAGCCATCTCTGGGGAACCATCAGTAGCTATACTAGATGTATTGACAGAAGTTGAAGAAAATTGCTTTAATATATTTTTTACTGCTTCATACAGATCAAGAGATTTATTGTGTCTTTTAATGCCACCAAAGGAGTTATTTCTTCAGTGACACTATATTCACTATCAGTATCTCTAATGAAGATGACAAGTTGAGCTGTATCTGTAGCATCAGTACTTTCATCTATCACAAAAGCATAAAATTTGAAATCAGCAGCTTTACTCCCCAAGTTTCTTGTGAAAGACTTTCTGAATTTTTTTTTCCAGTTTGCCTGGCTACAGTATAGTGAGACAAACTGGTATTAGAAAAATCAATTTTTTAAAAATCAGGACAAATTAAATCTGTCACACTTTCCAAACATTGCTTAATAAACTCGTCATCAATAAATGATATTGGGTTTTTTTTTTCAGTTAGATTTGCTACCGTTTCACTAGCTTATTATAATAGAGTTCTTTTGAGTTGTAGCTTTTTTTAAAAAAGATTTTGTTGAGATGACAGATTTTTTTTTTTCAGTTCTGCTATTTTGTTTTTACAAAGTATGATCTCCATTGAATTTGTCATCATGTTTCTGCATATATCTTTTCAAATTATAATCTTTGAAAATTGACGCAGTTTCCTTGCAAATTAAGCATAGTGCCATATTGTTTATCTTGTCAAGAAAGAACTCATCAATCTATTTTTTTATTGAACGTTCTTCCTTCATCCATAATTTTCCTTTTTTGGGGTTCTCATTTTCTTTTGAGACACCATTAGGTATGTTGAAATATCAGTATCAGCAGTCACTATGTTTTGTTCAACAAGTGACACAAGCACATGTCACGTGTAATACATGTGGGTTTTGATGCAACTGAGTGTGTGTGATGGGTGTGAGAGAAAGTCTGTTCTGCACTATGCCCCCCTTGTTTTGAATAGTATATGAAAAGTGAACAGGAGTAGTTGGCTGTAAATTAACTTCCTGAGACTGTATGCTGTTTGCAGAAAGTCACATAGAAGTATGTGATGATTAGAACCATGGAAACATTCAGACATCAGACTACTTTTGTAGCCTCTAACTGAATGTTTAAGTTCTTAATGTGTGAGAACTTTGTTGGAGATCATTTTCCACCACTGGAGTTCTTGCCGTGTATTATACACAAAAATTCCCAAATCCAATTCCACTCTACCAAATGGCCTGAAACAGTGGTTGAGTACCTGCTGGGAAGGCAGGACCAACCCAGGTGTATGCAATGCACCTGAGTGACCAGAAGGAGCGGAGTGAGAATCCACTCCTTCCCACACCTCATTTAAGGGTTGGCAGTGGAGGGCATCTCTTGCTGGAGATCTCTGTCTACCTGAGGCCTTCTGAATGTAAGCAGCTCTTTTCCTTCATTTCTGCATTCATGGCTGCTGCATTAGGGCTCATTCTCATTTGCTATAGCCAGAGACTTTGCTGTTCTGCTATTATCATCCTATTATAGCATTACACTGGGTCATGCTGTGGTGTCTGGACAATCTAGTGGTCCCTTGCATGTGTGGGCAGGGCAGCACAGTCTTGCTGATGAGATTAAGCCTTGCACAGGCTTAATGCTACTTCATTGATTTATCCAATGGTAGTTTGAGGTTTCAAAATATTCCAATCTGGAGGGAAGGATTAGAATTATAGGATTTCTTCATATTAGAAGATGGGATTCAGGTTGCTTCCCCATAGCAGATGAAATGGGGAGTTAGAAGCATCTCTGTGTGTTTCAGGTGACTAGTTCCATCAATGAAAAAATTGGTATGCTAAACTGAAGAGCACACTAAACACAAATCCTGCCCCCCCAAATAAAGTGTCCTCATAATGCTCTGTATATGGAATGAAGGGAGAAAATAACCACTGGAGATGTATAGTCACAGAGGAATCACAGAATCACAGAATTGCCAGGGTTGGAACCTCAAGGATCATGAATCTCCAACCCCCCTGCCACACGCAGGGCCACCAACCATTCCACCTGATGCTAGACCAGACTGCCCAGGGCCCCATCCAATCTGGCCTTGAACACCTCCAGGGATGGGACATCCACAACCTCTCTGGGCAGCCTGTTGCAGTACCTCACCACTCTCTCTGTAAAGAACTTCCCCCTGATGTCCAACCTAAATCTCCCTTCCCTCACCTTAAAACCATTTCCCCTTGTCCTGCTGTCACTCACTCTTTCAAAGAGTTGATTCCCCTCCTGCTTGTAGGCTCCCTTTAGGTACTGAAAGGCTGCAATGAGGTCACCCCGCAGCCTTCTTTTCTCCAGGCTGAACAAGCCCAGCTCCTTCAGCCTGTCCTCATAGAGGAGGTGCTCCAGTCCCCTGATCATCTTTGTGGCCCTCCTCTGGACCCTCTCCAACAGCTCGCTATCTTTCTTGTACTGGGGGCTCCAGACTTGGACGCAGAACTCCAGATGGGGCCTCACAAGAGCAGAGTAGAGGGGAACAATCACCTCTCTGTCCCTGCTGGCCACCCCTCTCTTGATGGAGCCCAGAATCCCATTTGCCTTCCGAGCTGCAAGGGCACACTGCTGGCTCATATTAAGTTTTTCATCTATCAAGACCCCCAGGTCCCTCTCCACAGGGCTGCTCTCAAGGACCGCTCCTTCCAGTCTGTAGGAATGCCTGGGATTCCTCTGGCCCAAGTGCAAAACTCTGCACTTTGCCGTGTTGAACCTCATGTTGAACTTAGGAAGGCTACTAAATAACATGAAATTTGGTTCAGTTCAGACCAGGAAGTGCATCTGCCTGAGGGAGCAGAAGATCAGATACAGTTCTTTTGGACTGTGGGAGCCCTATGCATGTGGCACAAAACCTGAGCGGAGTCCAGTGCAGTGACTTGTTGGACATGGTCATTGTTTGCAGCTGCTGCAAGATGGCTGCAATGGCTACATATACATATGCACTTAATGATAGAAATAGATAACATAAACCAGTGTTGAACTAATGCACACAAAGCAATGGGAGTAGAAGTGACAAGAAGATTCTTTGCCCACAGATATTGCTTAGCAGATACAAAAAATCAGAGAATGAAAGCTTATGTATGTACCCTTTATATTCACAAAAATTACAGGTCTGGTAATCAAAAGTGCCTGCAAATACTCTTTGAATAGCCTAAGTCTTAACTAGAACCTTACTTTGTTACAGATTCCTGTCCTGTGAGAAGGTACTAATGAAAAATTAAGTGTATACTAGCAAGAGTATGTCTTTGCTGGCATACTTTATTTCGTAGCTGAAGGAAAGGTACAGCAGCCTTACTGATGCCTAGCAAAGCACTGATGTTGTAGCTGTGTCTTCAGAGGATCTGGGCTATAAGCAAGATTATTTTGGTATAGATTAAGCCTGTGCTGCTGTTAAGACATACAAATTGTACTGTAGGTATTCCATAGTACAAGTGTATAAGGGTAACTAGCCCTGTGAAATATAATCTAGCTGCAACATTTGAGTCAGCCTTCTTTCTAAAGAGCTCAGAGATTCCTATTCAGATTTACAAGGTAAGGGTTGTCAGGTTGCATGACAGCAAAGATGAAAAGGTGTAGGGTGCATGTTTCCCTTCTAGATTTATACAAGAACAGATGTTCCAGGCATACTGCCAGCCTTATAGGATGGGGTCAGTGTCTCACTACACAATATTTTGGACAGCAAGGGTTAGATCACAGAATCATAGAATTGTAGGTCCTGATGATTTATATTCTGTGTGGCTTGGATAAATTTTGCCACTGTCTGTTGCCTTTCTGTGTCTGTTTCTGTAACTCACTTTGCCCTGTCACTCTTCCTCATCTGTGGGAACTGCTGGGAAAAGGGGATGTTCTCTTAGTACATCTGGATAAGGGATTGAAAAGGAAACTAAGATATTTTCATAGTCACAGAGTCAGTGCTGCCTTCTGCTGTCTTGCTACAGAGCTCATTTCAGCCTGTGTTCTGTGCCACCAGGGAAGGCAGCCTGCCTCTGGCATTCACGTGGTCTACTGTATTGCTTTGCACAGTGTGTGAAACAAGTTTTGTCTTCCCAAAGAGGTGCATGAGCAGCTTGGACTGCACTGGCGCAACAATAATGCTGTGACCAGTCACATGGCAAGGCAGTAAGAACCCACCTGAAATCATGTCTCCATTTATAGAAAAATAATAGCAACTGTATTGTCAGGCATAATGGAGCTCTTTACCTCAATTCTAAATGTTGCTTCATTCTT